CAACATTTGAACACCTGCCTGGTGGAGGGCTCCTAATTTAGACTTTTTCTCGGCACGTATGGCCACTGATCATAAAGCATCAGTAAGGGATCTTTATCGTGCCAACATCTACATGTATACTGTGACACTGCATGGGCCTACGTTTTTTGTTTTTGTTTTTTGTTTTTTGTTTTTGTTTTTTTTTTTTTTTGGTAAAAATTCAATTTCAATAAATTTACGCTGGCCTGAGATATTTCATAAGTTCGAATGAATAATATTTGTGAATTAATTTACCATACATGTTGCTTTTAAATTTCATTTGTATGATATTAGGTTTAAAATCGGTTTCTTTTGTTCTTTCTTATTTATAGATATATTTTTCAATTTTCAGAATGTATTTTCAAAACTGCTGTCATAAAAAAAAATTTTACCTACCTACCTACTCAACTTGAAATTTTAGGGTCGGGTTAGGGGAAACAAAGATATTTTTAATGATGGCCTGAGGATGCTTCCATATAAACATCGCTGATCACGGGCCTACTGCTGTTCTCAATATTTGATCCAAAAATTTCAGAACGGGGAAAGGGGGTGCTGTTCAGGTTTTTTTTTTTTTTTTTTTTTTTTTTTTTTTTTGACATACAAAAAAAAATCATTTGTGTGTGAAGGAGTGTTACTGTATAAGTTAAGTATATTATTTTGTCATGACATTTTACCTGTGGACAAAATTGAGAGTATATGCAGGTTAAAAAAAACAGAATTTACAAAGCAAAGAAAACTGAAAAAAAAAAATCAAACAGAGGGGGCAGGGTGAGATTGGGATGGGGGAGGGGGTGGGGTGCACCGGTGCTAGATCCGACTTTGGTTCTTGATAAGATTTTAAAGAGTTTTTGTATACCGTATATTCTAACGGAAAACTTTTATCACCAATTGTGGCCCCACCCTACCTATGGGGGTCATGATTTGAACAAAATTGATTTTGGGTTGGTTTTTTTTTTGTTTGTTTGTTGTTTTAATATCCCTCTAGAGAATTTTTCACTCAAGTAAAGGAGACATCACCACTTGCCGGTGGACGGCCAAAAATTTAGACCTATTCTTGGAACTCAGGGCCATTGAAAAGTGTGGCATCTTTTTCGTGCCAGAATCTAAAAAATTAAAAGTACACTTCATGTTTGTACTTTCACATAAGTATCATCTCTTCTGATCCAGAAGTTTTTGAGAAGAAAATTTTGAAAGAATTTTTCTTAAATATTCTATTAAAACTTTGATCATCTATTGTAGCCCCACCCTTTCCCAGACATGATCTGAATAAAAAAGAATCTACACTTTATAATAAAGCTTTCACATAAGTTTCAACTTTTCTGACATAATGGTTCTTGAGAAGATTAATTAAAGATGTCACTAAATTTTACTAATTCTTAAATATACATACATGTACTTTCTTGAAAGAGTGCATGACCATTAATTTGAACAAACTTGACTCCCTTTATCCACATTTGCTTTCTGGTAACTTTGGTTGAAATTGAAATTGGCCAGTAGTTCCTGAGAAGAAGCTGAAAATGTGAAAAGTTTACAAACAGACAGACGGACGACAAAGAAATGTGATCAGAAAAGCTCACTAGAGCTATCAGCTCAGGTGAGCTAAAAATATCTCAACCCCTACACCAATTATATCGGCACTCATACGAGAATTAAGCAAAAAAAAAAAAAAAAAATGAATTCCAGATAACATTACTACTCAACAAATAACTTTCAATCTCATATCCATGTACATATAACAAGAAAAAAGAAAAGACCGATTTTTCAGATATCTCAAGAATTACGGTATTCTGACATATCAAAGTCATGTAAACCAATGCTGGACACAATTTTCTGAGCAACACCCTTAAATTTCTCCCTACAGTATTGTGAGTAATGCTAAATAAATACAACTTGTTTTCTTATTTATCAGCCAAACACTTTGTCCTTTTCTCTCTCTCTCTCTCTGTATGTGTGTCAATCTCTCTCCCTCTCTCTCTCTTCACGACCTTAGTAAATATTCAACACAATACATCAGCGACAAAATGTGCCAATGGTCACAGTACATATTGTCGCCGACAACAAAACGTGCCGATACTTGGCTGTACATTTTGTCTTCCATTACGCAGGAGGAAGAAAAAGGCTCGTCTCGGTACAAATTGTCGCCGGCGACAATATGTATCGATGGACGACGATATGTGCAGTCAGGGTAGGTACATTTTGTCGCCGACGACAATATGTACAAAACGACAATATGTACCATCACACCTCTCTTTTTGATGGCATGCTTAACTTAACGATGCCTAAACCAACATAAGGTCGTCCTTCATAATGTACATACAATACAGTAGCGACAACGGACCGATGACAACGGACTGAATTTTCGTATCTTGTCATGACAACGGACAAAAATTGAAATAAATCAAAATTTTCAGTTTTAATTTGTTCTCAATTTTTCTGCAAAGGCTTACAACATGTCTTGATACTGTCTGCACCAATTAGTGTGTATATTATATTCCATTTACGAAAAGTACAACATCTCAGAAGGAAAATGAATGAAATCCACATGTGTTTTTAACAGGGTTTAATATCGCCAACGCAAACTCCTCTTTTATTACTCGTTTTTAACGGCTGAAATTCATACAGCACCAAATAGGGTGTCAGCCCTGTTTCCCATTGCAATTTCAGACATTGTTATAGATAATTTAACTTGAAAAATGAAAAACTTCTCACAGCCTGTCTTCTCAAGTCATGACACCGGACAAATTTTATCATAACCTCACCTGTTTGTTCATGACAACGAACCAGTTTTAGTGCTTAACTTTAAAAGTATCTGACAACGGTACTGTCTAGGAACTTAACGTGTTCCTGGCCGTGAACATGTACATGTATGTTGTGAGAAGAGTAAATAATGATGACAAGTTAGAAATGGGGTTAATATTCACAAATTTTAGGAGTTATCAACAATTCAGACATGCAGAGATAGCTCCCTCCCCTTTTCCTCCTTCCCAGCCCCCAGTTTGTTCATGTATGCAAACCAATACTTTGACATTAAAAAATTGTGAATATATAGTTACAAACATGTGCACAAAATTTAACAATTCGTCTCTCTGAATGATTTTCCTAATTCTAGGAGTGTAGATTTACCTAAAATCATGAATGTAATGTCAAGCAATATCTTATCATTATCATTGATGCACTTTTGAATTTGATGAAGCTCATATTGTAAACATTTCCAGTTAAAAGGGGGTGAGTACGACCTCCAGGGGTTCATAACCTTTACATATTAGATACATAATGACACATGAAACAAAATTATGCATGGAAAAGTTTTCAAACCATTTTTTGAGTTGCTGAGTTACATGATCAATTGTCGTTTCAAGGACAGGGGGTGGCCAGGGAGACTGGGGAGGGGGTGTCATCTCCCGTTATACATAATCATAATTATTATACAAAAACGGCTTTTGGGATTTCCGATTTATTTAAAGCTATTTGATTGTTTCCATATCCAGGTAATGGAAAAGACCCCCTGGGACTTACTTCAATGTATAACTTGCATGCGGCATCCGATGATCTTTGACCCTTTTAAAACTATAAAAAAACCATTTGCATTTCAGATTATTTTACCCCATTCTATACCTAAACTTATACTTACCGCCCGTCATAGGTACTGTCAACTTCATCAAATATAATCCAATTAAAATACACAATGAATTAAATCCTACTGATATAATGATGTGAACGTCATGTGCAATCCAATATTGATAATTGTAAAACAAGTACTCCTAGAGCGACGCAAGTCCAATGTGAGGCGCGGGTCTAGAAATTTTCAAAATGGTGTACACATGGTACATGTACAAATTTTATATTATAATTACAAACGATGTCTTTACATAAATTTGTGCTATTTATTTACACAAACAAATTGTGAGGAGGGGGGTGACAAAATTGATCGTGTTTGGGTTTTGGAAAGGGTTTTTACCTACCCAAATACTAATAAAAGTTTGCACAATTTGATCAATTCTGAAAGTTGGCATCTAATTTTTTTAAGTTTATCAAAAATGAAATGCACTAAAATAATAATATTTGTTGTTTTGAAAATAAATTTAAAAGGTTCCAATTATGGGCCAAAATTTACGTCCCACCTCTTAAAAAAACAAAAAACAAAAACAAAAAAACCCATAATTTATATCATTAATTAAATTCTGTAATTTCAAACTGGTAATGAATTTAGAATTTGAAATACTTACATCAGAGGCCCATGGACCACATGTTCATCTGAGCCTTTTATTCTCGATTTGACAATTAATACATGTACAGTGTAAATTATAGAATTATTGTGTCCTTTTTCTTGGTTACCAAAATATGAAGGAGTGTGCATATAGAGGCAAACACCTTAGTGCGGTATTACTGTTTGATGACAGCATCTAGTTGTTAGGTAGCGCTTACCGTATCTAGTCACAAAAACATTCAAATATGAAACAGATTTTTTCGGGTTATAAATCATGATAAGATGAGTACACTAGAAATCATTATTAGAGATGCAGAGATTTCATAAAGAAATTTGACACTATCCTCTTTTTTGCATTTGTAATATTGAAATTAAATAAAACCAAATAAATATCAAATTAAAAAGCTATACTAAGTCATATACACAATAGAAAAACAAGTTCAACGTTTCAAAATGAGCATATTTATTCGGAAGTATCATTTTCTCCAATTTTTAAAATTGAACAGAATGGTTTCATTAAAATTTTTCATTTGATGTTATACTTAAACCCACCCTGTGTTAAACGTTTGCAAATTATTCATGCTCCTACTTCGGTTATATTCTCCATATCAGTAGTCACCAAAATTAATCACTTATTTATCAAATACATACAGGATTGTCTTTTTTTTCAATGTAACTTTAACTATGCGAAAATAAAAACCTTTTCCACTGTCTGACATAAACGGCTTAAAATTCTTTTAAAAATCTGTAAGGATTGAAAAGTTATATTTTGGAAAGAATTACAATTTCCATCCACTAAAAGATGGCCGCCCGTATACAGAGTGACTTAACACATTTCCATGTGAAAGATCAGTAGGGTGTGTTCGAACATATACAAGATCTCCATGGTTTAGTGCTGCAACTATCACCCCTGTCGTAGAGTGAATGTCCCTTATTTCCTCGCTATCTGTTATCATATTAGCAAAAGCTTGAGAATTTATAACGATCTGTGATGTTATATAACTGTTGAAATCTGAAAAAACACTCCAAGTAAACACGTATGTACCGTCCATCGGGACAGTGAAGATGCCTGAGTTCCTATTATAGGCGGATCCAATATTGGTTTTTACAACATCGAACACGAAAACATGATGTAGGCTTGGACTAATTTCTTTCGAACTCATGTATGCACAGAATGCTACAATACTGGAACTATCAGGAACTGAAAAAGAGATAAAAACAATACTGTGTATTCCAGAACATTTTTTATGTGGTATCATATTTAAATAATTATAATACAGATGAGTTGAAGAAAGTGCCTAGAGATTCATCAGGTAAAAAAATGGAATACCTGGTACAATCCTTTTCCTTGCCTCAAAGTTATTGACAGACTTCTGTTCCGATTTTCCATGACTTCTTGTGTTCGACATTACCTCATTATGATCATCTCTGCTGTGGTTTGGTTCTCTATATTTTCGAAAATCCTTTCGACCTTCTTCATCGTTATTGGACATTTTGTCAATACAGTTTAGTTCGAGGTTTTTGATTTTTTCCTGTTGAGAATGGACTTTTTCTTCCAGTAGGACGATTTTGTTATCATAATTTTTTATCATCTCCTCGAACCTTTTCACTATTAACTTTTCAATCTGATCCGTGGAAATTGGAGTATCACACTTCACAAATTCCAGAATCCCCGAAAAAACCAAAGAGATCAAGAAACATTTTTGCATGTTCAACTGCAATGCTCTATGCATTCTAAAGAAATGGAAACAGATAGTCCCCGTTTATCATTGACCTATAAAGATTGGAGAAATTCTTATCTTTCATAATGTATACAAACCAAATACATATCGTAATGTCTTCCTAAGAGTACATGTACGTGAGTGTACCTTTCGTTCATTTAGATTGCTTCTCCTCTTAGAACGACTGATCCATAAACGACAGAAGTAACACCAAAGATTGTTCATGAGTTAATACGAAGTATATGACACTATTCTTGAGTGAGAGGCCCGATTGGGTAAGATGTTTTAATACCGATATAAGGGTAAAATCTTGAAAAATCATTTCCGAAAGTTAAGAACTCTATCTACACTGCACACATAAGAGTTCTGATTCTATAGTATTTTTCTGCAGTTAGAGTGATCTGCCCTTAGATCTAAATTCTGAAAAAAAGAAATTTACAGTATATTACTCAATTTGTAATTCATTCAAGTATTCTTAACATTTTAACATGCCAAGATAAATAAATTGAACTTGTTATTTACATGTATTGTCTCTATGGAAGTAAACGTCAGTGATTTCTGTTCAATGATGCTGTGTTGTGTTTAAACATTTTTCCTGGGGGTAAATGCCACGTACCATATAGTGAAAATTAAATAGATAAGCTCAATATTAACACCTTTATACAATATATTTTTCTCAATGCCCAAAAAACATTTTGCACTGGTGTAGAGAGGATCCTTAAAGAAAGACTGTTTTCATGGGTTCAAATTGCATCTTTATTGTACCAATAGAACTGGCATGAGAATATTATTTTTTCACCGCTCTTTTGTCGTTTGGTGTTTTCTTGAGTTTAGATAATGGAAACAGCTCCTAGATCCAATATAACAATGATATTATTTTAGAAGTTACTTACTCATTGTTTTGAAATACAGTACTTTAATAATATTAAGTGTAATTCTAGTGTTGATATTCATTTTACTTAAAATGGCAAAAAACCGAATTAAAATTTTTCAGGGATGATAATGTGGTTGTCCCAAAAACGACACATGTTATGTAGATCGCCTAAGGGAGATACCCTACGTAGATGCAGTAAAGAAAAAAAGATTTCTCGTGCTTACTACATGTATGTGAGAATTGTAGCTATAGACACAATCTTCGCTTTCTTTTTAAGCACTTTTAGGTGCCAGAGGCGGAATTATAAACATTTATTAAGACACCAACAATAATTATTTTTCAAATGGAATACTATATCTCATTGATAAACTTCTTATATGAATATCATTCTTGCTTAAAACTAGGGAGGAGAAGTGTCAATGTGTGAGAGAATGTGAGCAAAAATTTCATTATGTAACTTGATATGTCACTCTTTGAAATAAAAAAAGGGGGCGGTTTTTATTTCAAATTAAGTTAGAAACATTGAATCGATTATACGCGAAAATGAATACTTATCTCTTAAAAATCATCAACGTATCAAATGTATAATTGGAGGCCGCGGCAGAAAATTTTCTTTTCACTTATTTTCTTTAAAAATATTAAGTTTCCAACGAAAATAAATCAGGTTTGTTTACACTGATACAGAATTTGTGCCATAAGGAATTCGGACAGTTGCTTTCCGTGCAGAGCTTTGTATTCATTTTCAGCCTCGGACAGTTCCAGCACTTTAAAATGTTCTCAATATAACAATAAAAGCATATTATGAAATCAGATTATCATATTATAATATTACATGTATATTATGATATATCATGGTGTGATATTTAATATTGCCATTGTGTCTCAAGCGTTCACAAGAAGAAACCCTCTTTGAAATAAAGACATTACATTGTATTACCAACCTTTTGATGATCCGTGAGCCTTCTTTTATGTCTTAGACATACAAATCTTATATCTTTTTCACATAGGTACGTTTAAGAAAATTAGACTGCTCTGACCACAGCTTTATGAAATCACAACATTATTTCATATTCTATTGGAAATACTTCTTATTGAGTACTTAAGGAAAATATTAAATAAAGGTTAAGATAAAGAACATATATTGATCTCAAAAATCCCTGAAACAATACAAATCTGTGACAGGGTATAAAATACCGACCTTTGGAAATTTTAGAGCTGAGATCAGGTGCCTACGAGGAGTAAGCATCCCTAGTCAACAGGTCACAACCGACATTAGCCCTAAGAATATATAGACAGAAAGTTCCCTGGTCAAATTTGGTATAAAAACAAAGGTTGAACGATTGGTATGAAATATGTTGGGGTGGGAACTGCGCACATTTCCTCAAACATAACCTTTTACTATTTAAAACGTTCATTGAAAGGTCATCCCCCTTCAAGAAATAGGATTTTCAAATTTGGATAATTTTTGTCCTTTCCTTTGTGTGTCAAAGTAAATTTTCAAAAAAAAAAATTCACTGTCCCCCTCCACTTACAAAAAATACTACGTGTCTGGTTCACTAGGATATATATATATATATATATATATATATATATATATATATATATATATATATATATATATATATATATATATATATATATATATATATATATATATACATATAAAGCACTAAAAACCAACAACACTGTATATCCTAAGTGTCGGATCTACTAAGTAGATACAAGGTCACGGATGGAAATTTATATAAAGCACTAAAAATGACCAACGACACGAACAATAATAATTGTCAAATTTTCGGGACAACCTGTCCCTTCCTCAGGACAAAGAAAAAAGTTAAGAAGTCATAAAAACAAAGGAAATAGAGAAGCAAAAACAACTAGCACTACTACTAAACTACCAAACACTAAATATTTACAAGGTTGCATGTTTAATTTGGAGTTTATAAACAGTTGTGAACAAAGAAATCCGGAGCGCTATGAATTGCGTCCGGTCTATCGGGTGTACTCGGTGAAGTGTGATTTACTTAATTGAACGAATTAATTATCGCTAATTAATTACGGCCAACAGTAAATCGTACATTGTCTTATTCTCTCAAAATAGCGTAACTCTACATGATAAAAAGAAATTAAAGAAAGATAATATGGAAGGACAATTTTGAAATATGAATTTGGATATATTATAAATTTGGAAATCGGAAAAAAGAAATAAACAAAAATGTGAGCTGTAAATATTTGGGTAGGTTGTTCCAGGATTATTAATACGAATTAACGGTAAAGTTTACGCTATATAGAGAGAATGAACTTGTTTGTTACAATTCGGGATTGGGTCTAGTTCACGTTCATCCTGGTGAAGTCATTAAGTTTGTTAATACCATTAGGGCGGAATGACTTCAGCCTGTGCATCCAGAACTTTTCCTTGCCTTTTTCTCTGCGCGTCTGTCCATCTTGGATTATGGTCAATAAACCACTACTGTCATGTCCTCCCATTTGTGACCTTCAAGGTTGAAATGTTCCCCAACGGGTTCATTGAGTTTTTTGGTCCTAATGGTAGAACGGTGATTATTGACTCTCTTGCGGAGATCTCCTGTTTCACCAACATACTGTTTGGAGCAAACTTTGCAGCTGATGAGATAAATGCAGTTGTCTGTTTGGCAGGACAAATTCCCTAGTATTTTGTAGCTGCGGCCTGTAACGGGGCTGTTAAAACTGTCTGTGTCAGAGCTGTACTTACAGAGAAGACATCTTCTGTCAGAGCAAGTTTTAAAGCCCCCGTTAGGTAATGGATTGTCCAATCTGGTTCTTACTACCATGTCCTTCAGGTTCCTCGGGCGCCTGTATGCAGCCAATGGGGGCTCCTTAAAGACCTCTGCCATTCGTTTATTTGAGTGGAGAATTGGCAGATTCTTTTGAAAGATACCGCTGAGGTTCTTAAGGACGGGATGGTATGTGGTTACCAGAGGGACCCTGTCGCTATTGTCTTTTTCCTTGTAGCGTAAAAGGTTTTGCCTGTCATGTCCCGCCATCTCATCAATAGCAGTTTGTACGGTGCGGGCATTGTAGCCTCTCTTGCATAAGTGGGACTTAAGGAGACCGCTTTGTTCTTGATATAAGGCAGGGGATGAACAGATGCGCCGAATTCTGGTGGCTAGACCCTTAGGCACACCCTTAAATATGTGTGGGAGATGACAGCTAGTTGGCATAAGATACAGATGGGAATCTGTGGGTTTCATAGAGAAAGTCCTTTCAATGCCAGACAAGGCTCCCGACAATTTGAGTAAGGAGGAGAGATCCGCCTTACAATCATTAAAGAATCGGGATGACATTGTAATCAAGAAAGCAGACAAAGGCTCTACAGTAGTAGTGCTTGACAAAGAGACGTACATGGCGGAGGCCCATAGACAACTCTCAGACGAACGTTTCTATAAGAAACTGGACTCTGACCCCACTAAAGAATTCTCCACCGCCATCACCAAAACTCTTGACGAAATGTTTGAGAAAAACGAGATTGGTATCAACGTCTATGAGACACTCAATCCTATTGACTGTAGACCAGGACAATTTTATCTGCTTCCTACACATACACAAAGAAGGTATGCCAGGTCGCCCTATAGTTAGCGCTATTGGACACCCCACGGAGACAATTTCTGAATACATCGATTTACATCTCCGTCCACACGTAGAGAATTTGCCATCCTATCTCAAGGACACCACGGACTACATTAACAAGACGCCCTCTACTGGCCTTCCAGATCATACCCTTCTCGTGACTATGGACGTCACATCTTTGTACACCAATATTCCGCACGATGAGGGTATCGAAGCCTGTAGAGAAGTCTGGGATAGTAGATCCATACAAATTCCTTCTACCGAGTCACTTGCCAAGCTCCTTGAACATGTTCTTAAGTATAACAACTTCATGTTTAATGGAGAACATTACCTGCAGGTTAATGGCACTGCTATGGGTACGAAAATGGCACCATCTTATGCCAATATTTTCATGGGCAGACTGGAACGCAACTTGCTACTTCAAGCACCATTTAGGCCCCTCAGCTGGTTGCGTTTCATTGACGATATAGAGATGAAGTGGGTGGAATGTCGCGAGAGCCTCGAGGCA